TATATATATATATATATATATATATATATATATATATATATATATATATATATATATATATTGTTAAATATAATTCATTGTGATTTGATATGATTAGATTTGATATCATATGATTAATTTGATATGATATGATTAGATATCATATGATTAGATTTGATTTAGAATATTTTGGGCCTTTTATGTTTTGGGCTAGTGTAAACCTAAAACTATAAATAGGGTGCCTTGCTTTGTATTCTACATCACAACAGAACAGATTTCACAGTTGCAGTTAGCAAGTGAAAGTTCAATAAGAAATCCCACAGTTGTGGGTAACACATTCTCTCCAAATACTTCTTCTCTCATTCTTCTCTTTCTTGTTTGTTATTCTTCTTCTCTTTTGTTGTTCTTGATAATTACTTGTTATTACCATCATTATCATATTGTGGGTTTGTTCATCAATCTTGAGATCAAGATTGAAGGGAATTCTTCATAGGGTGTGAGGTGAATTTCCAACATCTGGTATCAGAGCTCCGGTTAAGAGATTCAAGGAAGGAAGATAGTGATGGCGATGAACTATCCAAACGACAACTTTCCGGCGACCCTGCCAATTCTCAAGAAAGACAATTATGAGAATTGGTGCAAGCAGGTTAAGGTGATATTCTGTTATCAAGATCTTTGGGATCTTGTGAAGGACGGAGTAACATCGCTGGTGGAGAACGCAACGGAGGCGGAAAAGGCTGTGCACAAAGAATTGAAGAAGAAGGATTATAAAGCACTCTTTATAATTCATCAGTGTGTTGATCCTGATAACTTTGAAAAGGTTAGTGATGTTGATTCAGTAAAAGAAGTATGGGTGATTCTTGAAAAGTCGTTTGGAGGCGCAGAGAAGGTGAAAGAGGTGAGGTTACAAACTCACAAGAGAACCTATGAGTTGCTTCAGATGGAAGACAACGAAAGCATTACGGATTTCTTCACCAGAGTTATAAGGTTGGTGAATCAAATCAAAGTATGTGGAGAAACGCTGACGATGAAAGCAGTTGTCTCAAAGATTTTGAGATCGTTGGCTCCAAAATTCGACCACGTGGTAGTTGCCATAGAGGAGTCGAAAGATCTGTCAGTGTTGACGAAGGAAGAGCTTCAAGGGACTCTTGAGTCTCATGAACAGAGGATGGATGAGAGAGCTGCAGGAAAGTCGAAAGATATGGCTTTGCAGGCACAGACGGAAAAGGAGAGAAAAGGAAAAGGTAGCTGGAATGGCAACAAAGGAGGAAACTAGTCAAATCAAAAGAAACCTTGGAACCAAGGCAACCAAAGAGGTGGTGTTGTAGGTAAAGGAAGAGGTGGTGATCGAAAGACAAACAAAAGCCACATTCAATGTTTCAATTGCCAGAAGTATGGTCATTATGTTAGTGATTATCCAGAAAAGAAGAGAAATCAAGAGACTGATGCAAAGCTGGCGAAACATGAAGAAGAAGAAACGTTGCTAATGGTCACAACAAACGATGAAGAAAGATTCCAAGATCAGTGGTACTTGGACTCAGGATACTCATCACACATGACTGGAAGGAAAGATTGGTTTGTCAACATGAAGCCCTCGTCGGAGAATACGGTGAAGTTTGCAAATGACAACACTCTAGCAGCTGAAGGTGTTGGTGATGTTCTGATTATGAGGAAAGATGGCAAAAGGTCAACAATTTCCAATGTGTTGTACATACCAGGCATGAAGAGTAATTTGCTCAGTATAGGGTAGTTTGTCGAAAAGAACTACAAGGTAGTTGTCGAAGACAAGATTATGAGAGTCCTCGACGCAGGTGGTAGACTAATCTTGAAGGCTCCAATGTCTCAGAATAGGACCTTCAAGATTGGACTCAATGTGATGGAGCACAAGTGTTTAGCAACTGCAGCCACTGAAGTCAAAATAGAAGTTCGACAGAAACCAGTTGCAGATGAAGCAGGTTCAAGCAGACCTCGACGAACTAGACACATGCCTGCAAGGTTGCAAGAATGTGTAATCACATCAGATGATGTAGTCGATGAAGAGGGTGAGCTGGTACGTTATGCTTTCTACGCAGATGTCGAACCAGTCAATGCAGCTGAGGCATTGAAAGATTCGAAGTGGGTGAAAGCAATGATTGAAGAGTTAGAGTCCATCAAAGTCAATGATACTTGGTCACTTGTCGAATTGCCGCAAGGCAATAAGGCAATTGATGTGAGGTGGGTTTACAAGGTGAAGGTAAATCCTAAAGGAGAAGTAACTCGACACAAAGCGAGACTTGTGGCGAAAGGATTTCTTCAGAAGGAAGGGATCGACTTTGATGAAGTATTCGCACCTGTTGCTAGAATCGAAACAATCAGGTTGGTTGTTGGTCTAGCAAATATGAAGAACTGACACACATGTCAGATGAACGTGAAGTGTGCATTCCTTAATGGCCCCTTAGAAGAAGAAGTTTATGTTGCACAACCAGCTGGGTTTGTGAAACAAGGCGAAGAAAGAAAGGTGTACAGGCTTCATAAAGCCCTGTATGGACTTAAGCAAGCTCCAAGAGCTTGGAATAAGAAAATTGACAGCTTCTTAAGGGAGAAGGAATTTGTGAAGTGTACAACTGAGCATGGAGTATATGTAAGAAGAAGCAATGGTGAATTGCTTATACTATGTCTCTATGTTGATGATTTGTTGATAACAGGGAGTTCCAAGAAGGAGATCGAAGATTTCAAACATGACCTGAGTAAGGAGTTTGAAATGTCAGACTTGGGAAATCTCTCATATTTCCTTGGCATCGAATTCTACAAGACAAGTAGAGGTTTGATGATGCACCAAAGAAGATATGCAGGCGAGATACTCAAGAGATTTGAGATGCAAGATTGCAACCAAACTTCGACTCCAGCTGAGCCCAGATTGCAACTGTCGAAGGATTCAGATAAAGATGATGTCGACCCAACCCAATACAGAAGACTTATTGGGTCACTTAGATACCTTTGCCACACAAGGCCTGACTTAGCATACAGTGTTGGTATGATAAGTAGATTCATGCAGAAACCAAAGGTATCACACCTAGCAGCGGCGAAAAGGATACTGAGGTATCTGAAAGGAACTCTCGACTATGGCATTTTGTTTCCAGCAGCTGATGAAGGAAAAGAATGCAAGTTAATGGGATACACAGACTCCAGTTGGTGTAGTGATGCTGAGGATCGAAAATCCACAACTGGATATGTGTTTATGTTAGGTGGTGCACCAGTTGCTTGGAATTCGAGAAAGGAACCAGTGGTGGCATTATCATCATGCGAAGCAGAATATATAGCTGCTTCCCTTTGTGCATGTCAAGCAACTTGGATGGTGAACTTGGTCGAAGAAATCACAGGGAAGAACCATGGAGCAATTACCATGAAGATAGACAGCATGTCAGCTATCAACTTGGCAAAGAATCCAATAGCTCATGGTCGAAGCAAGCACATCGAAATGAGGTTCCATTATCTCCGAGAGCGGGTAGCAGAAGGGAAGATGAAGTTGAAACACTGCAGAACTGAGAATCAGATTGCAGATATCATGACGAAGGGAGTGCAGGTCGAAGTCTTCAGAAGACTAAGGGCCATGATGAATGTAGACAGTTTAGACACAATGAATTAGGTGGTGTGTTAAATATAATTCATTGTGATTTGATATGATTAGATTTGATATCATATGATTAATTTGATATGATATGATTAGATATCATATGATTAGATTTGATATCATATGATTAGATTTGATTTAGAATATTTTGGGCCTTTTATGTTTTGGGCTAGTGTAAACCTAAAACTATAAATAGGGTGCCTTGCTTTGTATTCTACATCACAACAGAACAGATTTCACAGTTGCAGTTAGCAAGTGAAAGTTCAATAAGAAATCTCACAGTTGTGGGTAACACATTCTCTCCAAATACTTCTTCTCTCATTCTTCCCTTTCTTGTTTGTTATTCTTCTTCTCTTTTGTTGTTCTTGATAATTACTTGTTATTACCATCATTATCATATTGTAGGTTTGTTTATCAATCTTGAGATCAAGATTGAAGGGAATTTTTTATAGGATGTGAGGTGAATTTCCAATATATATATATATATATATATATATATATATATATATATATATATATATATATATATATATATATATATATATATATATATATATATATATATATATATATATATATATATATATATATATATATATATATATATATATATATATATATATATATATATATATATATATATATATATATATTACGAAGTAGAAAAAAAAATCTTATATGGTTTAATAAAAATTAACCAAATCCAAAGTTCACCATATCAATTTTTTTTACAAAACCAAATTCAATAAAATCTTCTTCATGCAAGATTGTTTTCATTAAATATTTTTCATATTGATTTAGATTAAAAAAATTTGTCTAAACAAAATCTTTGCAAAAACTAAAAAATATTTCTGAATGAAGTAAATTTGAACCAAAAAATATCATAATAAGTGGTAGAAGCGAACACATATTTCTAGATAATATACCCAAGAAAGAATAGAGAAAATCAAATATAGGATATCTCAACATTAATCAATACACCTTAAACAAATTGTCTACAAACTATATACATGGTTGAATTTGAACCCACTTTGTTATTTTATTTTGGAGAGATTACTGATGTTTAAGTATTGAGTATGATATGTAACCTTCCATCATTTAGTGTTATGTTAATTTTAAATACTTATTTTAAAATAAATTTAAACTTTAAACTAATTTTATTCTAAGTACCCTTAACACTAAAAAAAATCCACATTTTAAATGAAGATGTAAAAACCACTTAATCCATAAATATATCAACAAGAGAAAAAAGAAAGTCTTGGCAATACTTCAAAAATAGAATATAATATAAAAGAAGCAATATCAGCCTTATATTTCTGCTCCCCCTTATCTCCCTGCCCTTTCCTGCCATCTCTTCATCTCCTATACGCAGGAGATTCCATAGGGGAAGCCAAGCAAAGCCAAGCCAATCATGGCTTCCTCTTCACTACCATCCTTCATTCAAGTCTCAACCTTCTCTAAAAAACTCACCACCCCTCAAAGCAACTCTCACTTTGCTATAACAAAAACCAACACACAATTTTCTTGCTCCTTATCTCCTTCTCCTTCCCACAACATTCTTCAAAAATCACTTCCTTTAGCTGCTTCACTTGCAATTCTTCTCTGGTCAACTCCTGGTGCAATACCCTTTATCTATCTCTCTTTCAATGTAGCAGCATGCATTTCATTTCAAGTCACTTTATTGTTTACTGTTAATATTTTTCCTTGCAGCACATGCTGGATTCATGTCAGGAATCTCGGGACTAGAAGCTGTTCCTGGTCCTCAGCTGCCTAAGATTGATTTCCTCAACAGAATAAACGGTTACATCTCTCAAAATCTTATAGATGATGATGATGATGATGATGAAACTAACATATATATGTGTTCATTCTATTCTTAACAGAAGAAAACCAGAAGAGATATGCTGAAAATGATGCAAGAATCAAAGAGTCTCCCTTGGTGAAGAAACTTCTTGAGCAATCTAAGTTGAATAAAGAGAAGTAATTGATTCTTTAGCTATTATGATCATAATTGAATCTGTGTATTTTTTGTTATCAAAAAGTTACAGCAATATCATTTTGTGTTCAGGAATAGTAAAGAAATAGAGAACAAGTACTGCTTACGTGGTGCAGAATGGGGAGTTGGTGATTGTTCAGCAGAAGGAATGTCTATAGAGGAGAGGGAGAAGTTCATAGCAATGTTGAAAGAGAAGGTTGGAGAAAAGTAATATGATGCAGCTAGATTATAGAAAAGATAAAATTTTAGGCCTCTTGAGTTTCAAAGTTTTGTTTTTGAATCCTATTTATTATACAATGGACTATTATTATGTATGATTGTAGCAGAAACAATACATTAGTTCAACCTCTTAATCTTTCTACAACAAGAAGATCCTAAGAGAAAACTTAGATAATTTTTCTACTAAAATTTCCTAACAAAGGCCTATGTAATGTGTTTCCCAATTCAATGAATCTTTTCTCCAAAACCACTTGACTTTAGTTTCTCCCCTAAAAGTTTCTCTTTCGATCTCTAAAGTTAAGAACAAAAGAATACAAATGAAAGTCTTTATATAGCACATGATTTGAGGTCATCGTGCCAACGATACTCCATGTGCCTCATGGATGAGACATTTCTAAAATATCTAGAAAACATTTTTAAAAAATGCATGAAGGCTCATGCTAAACGTCTCAAGGGTGTGGAAGCTTTGGTCAAGAAAGTTCTAGCAAGAGCATAATCTAATTAGTGTGTGTTTGGTTCTTCCCTGGAAAAAAATTATTTTGACTAAATTGATTCTATAAAATTGATTAGAGTTAAAAGCGAGTTGAATGTAAAGTGATTTGTGTTTGAATAAATTTAAGTAAAATGGAGCTGAACAATAAGTTTCAATGTAAAACTTACGTTTAAACATGAGAATTTTCCCGTGCTTGAATTAAATATTGTCCCCAATAAAAACAACTTAAAAGAGAGGGATAGAGAAAATTCACAAAATCATGGATGCGGAAGAAAGTGTCTCTATGAAACATGGTAGTTGAATAAGGTCTTCATCATATCATTTAGACCATCTAACACTTAGATTTGTCCATGTTGTTCAACCTTAATTCTTTCCCACCACTCTTGGTTGTTTCATGTGTAAATGCAAATTCTTCTACAGGAAGAGATAATGGAATATGTGTGGATCTATGTGCTTGCAGGTACTGTAGTTGATGATGTCTTGATCCCTTGAGTGATCAGAATGGTTTTGATGGTGACTCTAATATTCAGTGGAATCATGTTGGTTGATCATTCGCTTGATCGTGTTGATCCCTTGTGATGTATTTTCAGCGGTGTCTAATGATGTTGCTCATCGTGAAAATATCTCAAACCTCATCTGAGAAAAGATTCATGATTCTAGTGAAGTTCTAAAGTCAAAGACAATGTATCAAGGATCTTGAAGGTTCAAAGTTGTGAAATTGAGTGTGTGTTAAATGTCGTATGGCGGATCGTGGGCTTAACATAGTGTCTGAGTGGTCAGAGTATTGTAAAATTGTTAGAGTAACTCATAAGTTACTAAGACAACTCTCACACACTAACAAAATATTTTATAGACCATTTCTCTTTGATAAAATCACTAAAAAATGTTTTTCGCATATAGCTAATTGATTACAAGTCCAAATAATTAATTATGAGTGAAAATTACACTGAATAATCAATTATCTAATATGTCTAGTTGATTATATCAATTCTAATGTCTTATGGTAAAATATTAGGGTTTATAGTCAATTAGTTACAGTGCAATTTTAAAAAAAATCTTTTTAACACTATATAATTGATTATACTTATGGCATAATTGATTATGAGTATTAAAAATTCCGTTGATCACTTTCCTTTTTGAGAAACATTTTCTTCTATATAAGAAGGGTGTCTCCTCACTATTTCACACACTAGAATTCAATTGTAAATCATTATTCTCTCTTTTAACCTATCTCTCTTATATTCTTTCTTTCATTAAATGTTGCCTCAGTGCCTTGTGAGTGAAATGTATTTGTGAGCTTTTAGTTGTACCAGTGTTCAGCTATTTCATCAAGAGTGTTATTCTTTTAAAGTCCCTCTTAGTTGGTTGTGAAGGTTCTCCTGCAAAACACTTACTTAGTTTTCGAGATTAGTCGGTCAAAATCTCCTTCTTGGTTCATGAGTTTAACCCTTGAAAAAGTCCATTTTTTTTAGGGATCATCCTATGACAATATCTCAATTGATTGTAATAATATTCATAGATATAACCTAACAAAAACACAAAAGATTTTATTAGTGGAAGTCTAAAAAAGTTTGTTTCTTGAGGAGTGGATAAGGCTAAGAGATCGACCGAACCTCTATAAATCCTGAAACAATCTCTCTTATCCCTCTCTATTTACTTTCAGTCATTTACTTCCTTAATATTTCATTCCTTCCATTTTCCACTGCTTTTATCGCTATTTTAAACTATATTAACACAAATTGTTGTTTTTAGTAATTAATCTTAAATTAATTACGAATTTTGAATACCATAATTTACCTTCTCTCTTGTGTTTAGAGTCACTTGTTCAATAAAAGGTTCATCTTAAAACATCTCTTCATAAGTCGAGATTGTGGAAGTGTATTACCAATTTTTACGATTGTGGATTGTTGTCCTTTTCGCGTTGGGTAAAAATATGACCTCTTCATGTGAGATCTAAGCTTATAAAAATCACATTATTGGGAAACTATTTTCAAGGTAATGCAATTTCATGTCTAGCCCGGTACTTCTAGGGATTTCAATCAATTCCCCAATGGTCATTTCATAACCCAAGTTTTCAATAATTGGGGTAATCAATCCCTTAAACACTGCGTCCCCTTTTGATGCTTTGGCAACATTTTCCAAACACTTAGCCAAATATAAAACAATATGGATAGGATGACCTTTAATCATTGACCGATTAATCCTGTATTATCCCCTCTTGCAAAAATTGTGTGCGCTAGCACCTTTTGAACATACTTGAAACAAGGGTTTTAGATCAAGGAAGTTTTAGCCATGGCCGATTCATATCCATTATAATTGGTAGTTTTTTTCCCAAAAATGTGCATAAACGAATCAACTGTTTCGAGTAATATTTATATCACCGTGAATTAATACTTTGCAAATGACTGTAAGTTCATAGATGTCCAAGCTATAATTAGTGTTAAATAACCTAAACGAAGTAATTCCATACCCATTATCTACCACTATATTGATATTTACCTCTAAAGTAATTAAAAACTACAAAGTGAGTTTCATAGGTTGGGATCTTTAGTGACATAAGATGTATTAAGTCTATTTATCAAACATCCAAGCAATATCATCAACTATTCCTAATGGTTCTATAGTTTATTGGTGCACCTATCTTGTTGGAGTGATCTTTCAGTGAACGAGGATGTCATATCGCTCTTGTTGAACAACAAATGAAAACTTTAATTCAGTAGGAACTTTTCGTGCTTTTGTCATTCCTCTTTCTTATCTCTCTCTCTCTCTCTCTCTCTCTCTCTCTCTCTCTCTCAGTAGCTTGAGCATGTGATGTTGTTGGTGCTTTCCCTTTACTGAATCTCTTTTTATGCCATGAGTTAAAATGTTAGGGTTTTGAGATGGAAGGTGTGAGGGTGAGAAATTTGTTGATGGTTTTGGTTGAAGTTTGTTTGGGAGGTTGAAAAGTAGAGAATTTAGTGATGGGTGTTTGGTTTTGGGTTTAGAGTGTGGGTAGTAGTGGGTGAAGATAAAGAAAAATTGTTGGCTATGGGGCTTTTAGTGTGTAGTTTATGAGAGATTCATGGAAGATTGAAATTTAGAGGTTTTGAATGTGAAAATCAAGGTAAAAGAATTTGTTTCCTGATTTAATGGTGTTTAATGGGAGAAAAATGCTATTCCTACACCATTTCCTACACCCAATACTTACACCGTATGCACTATTCACCGTATTTATACGGTGAACAGTGTTTTTTTTATTAAAATAATATATTTTTTTAAAATATTAATTTTTTTTTTTAAAAAGTTTTATTTTTAAAATTTATTTTATAACACAAATATAAGATTGCGCATTAACCAACTTCACAGTTGCATTAACCACAAAAATCTACATTATTAACCAATTATTTTACATATAATTTATTAACCACTTTCACTACTTCATTAACCAATAAAATACACACTATTAACCATGTTCGGGGGAATTTGTTCAAGTATTTGTGAACAGTAATTGAGGTGTAGGGTGTAAAGATGGGTGTCAACATAGCAATCCTGTTAATGGGATTAGGGATAATGTTTGGGGAGTTTAGGAAGGATGGAGCCTACCACTTAATCTTGTATTTTTTTAATCATGGGTCGACTATGACCATAATATACACTAGAGATAGCACGTACCCACATCTGTTTTGAAAATATTTTAGGGACATCAAGTCCAGGCTGGCTACAGTCATTATGAGTATCCCATAGTCATATCTGTTTTTGTGGTTTTGTACCTTGTTTTGTGATTTTGGGGAATTCTTCAGTCTGGAACACTTATTAGGCACTTTTCTTATTATTTTATTCACTTGTATCTCTGTTTTCATCTCAACTCCATTTTTATGAGCCTCTCTTGATACTACAAATTAAAATTAACAAAAATATTAAAAGTTAAATTCTCGTGGGTTTTCTCCCACGAGTCTCTTCTTTTAGGTCATTAGCTTGACCATTCAAATTTCTTTTTCTCAAGAGGGTGCTTCCAAAATGATACAACCTTTTGTTCAACTGCACCTCTCGTTCCATAATGCCTCAATCTCTGGCCATTTGCTATAAATACACCAGTAAATTCACTTAAACTTTGAATGCACCGAAATGAGCTACCTTCCTTACCTGAAATGGTAACAACTATCGATATCACAGTTTGCCTGGAAAGAGCTTAAGTATATAGTTAAACAATATAATAACTTCTCCCCGACAACGAAGCTAACAACTTTATATGAAGAGCACAATTTATATCAATATAGTAAATTATTATTCCACAAGGGAGTAATGTGGTTACCGATTCATTGTTTCTATTTTGATTAGCTAAAATGAAATCAATATATTGTTATGTTGTTATTTTTATGATTATAATTTAAATAAAGACTAGTCCTAGGATTATGATTCTTATCCAAGATGAACCTTGTATATCATCATTCCTACTTGTTCCGTTATGGAACCATAAATGAGAAGTTGAACGGAGGTGACAATGGATCGCAGTTTTTGAT